TTGTGTGATATTCTTAAGATTTGATTTATAACAATAAAGCTGAATAAATGATATACTAAATTAGAAAACAAAAGTCTCTTTTATACGCACTCACATTTTGGCATTGACTTTTAACTCAAGCAAGTATTAAATTCCTTATCAATTATTGTTTCGGGTTGATATGAGCAATAGGAACAAACTCTACAGATACACATTCGAAAACCATTGGAGGTTTTTTTGCTTAGTTATTTTTTATAACTATGACATCATTTATATATTGTTTTCATAATAATTAATTGATTTAAAAATACATGCGCGTCTTTTAAAACTCGAACGGAAGAGTTCAAATTAATTCTATTATTTAGAAGAATCGCAACAATAGTAAATTTTTATCAATTGCCTATTTATCAATTATTGATTCGAAGAATCATATTTTATTTGTTATGAAAAAGTTCTAGTTAGTTCTAGATATAAATAATAAATTTAAAAAAATTCAGAAACAAAAGCAAAACAATATTCGAATCTTTAGTTGTAATGTTAGATAAATATTATCACTGTAAATTATTTGTAAGAAGATTAAGTAAACTGACTATGCTAAAAATTCAACTTATTGTTTAATAAATATATTCTTAAAGTTTATCAGTTATATAGATAAAAACTTAGGACGTGTGTGAATTAGGCTAAGTTGATGCTGAACCAAATGGGAAATTTTTTGGGATTTTTTTGTATCGACACATCACTACATTATCGGCACAACTTAGAATTTCCCTCATTTAGAACGCAACTTAGCCTAACTCGCACACGTCCTTACAGATTAACAACAAATCGGTGCTTCGAGATTGATTACCAGCTAATATATCATATGACATATAATATTCAGTACTAAATTACCTGGTTAATGGAACCTTTTTCCATTAAAATAAAAGAGAAAGAGAGTGAAAAAAGTTTGGGAACTTTTTTTTATCTTCAGTTCAAATTTCTTTTGGATATAATGTATAATCTCACATTCCTATAAGTCATTAGTAATGACAAACTGTATATTACATTTTCAACAGACTTCGTTTTTGTCCCTTACGTTTAAATGGATGTATTCATTCATTTAGTATAACATTAATTTGATACTAATAAATATAAAGGAATATTTGTAATCGTCAAATGTTTTAATGGTAATTCGTCTTTTATTAATAATATATAGTAGACTGCACTTAAATCTTATTATTTAATATTGAAGTGCTGCTTATTGTTTTAGTGACTTGGGATGTGAGCTTATTATGTAGCATTACTATTCCAGAGTAAATTTGCAGTTACATGCGGTGTTTTACTTTATTAATTTTTTGGTACTATGTATAGGTAATAGACGAGTCCCTATGCTCCACTTGGAGAGAAGGACAGCAGTAAGTAAATAATTAATAGGTAAATGTAAGCAATAACATTTTTAATACAACTTTGTCAAAGAACACTGCCAACTCCTCATGATTTTTGCTTGGCAATATTTTCGGCGTTACCAGAATATTATTTGAAATGAGTTCTTTAATGGTAATAAATATTATTTCCTTTAAAATAACCTATCAAATAAAATTAGAAATGCCAAATTTTTAAAAAAATAGGAATTATTGCTTGAATTCGTCAATATCTCTAAGTATGACCCCAGTTGCTGAAAATAAATAGTAAAGTCTTAAATTTGTAAAAATAATAGGTTTTGAATCAAAAAAATCATGTCATTTTAGTAATCAAAATCTTAATAAAAGTCATCTTAATAAAATAAGGAAAACGCATGGACTTAGAATCTATGAGTATTAAAGATCAAACAAGTATTGACAACTAGCGGTAAAAATTTATGTATATCGGTCATTC